ATTCCCAGTGTTTTGGCCATTGTATTAGTTTCCTAGGGCTGCTATAACAAACACCACAGCATGGTTGGTTTGAACAACAGAAAATTTATTTTTCCAGGTTCTGGAGGCTAGAAGTCCAAGACAGTGTTGGCAGGGTTGGTTTCTCCTGAGGACCTTCCCCGTGGCTTGCAGATGACCACCGTCTCACTGTGTCCTCATGTAGTCTTTTCTTTATGCGTGTGCATCCTTGCTGTCTTTCTATACATCTTTCCTATAAGAACTCCATACTGGATTAGGGCCTACCCTAAGGATCTTGTTTTAACTTAATCCCCTCCTTAAAGACCTTATCTCAAATACAGTTACATTCTGAGGTCCTAGGGGTTAGGATTTCAACATAGGAATTTGGTGGGGGCAGGAGGACAAAATTCAGCATATTGAATTCTTTGTAGTTGCTTGACTATGACATGCCTTTGTACTTTTGTAAATGTTCCCTCTTGCCAGGACCACTTTCCTTCCCCTCCAGGCTAACTCTTCTGTGCTCTTTGAGACTCGGTTCACATGGGAGGCTTTCCCGACCCCTGAGCCTGTGGCCTCTTCTTGCTTCTCACATTGAGCTCCGCGCTTGTGCTATCATGGCATGTCTCTGTATCACAGTTGTAATCGTTCACTCTCTGCCCCATGCCCAAACATACCCTTACACATTTAACAATGTCTGTGGCTTCACAGTTAATAAATCTGAATGGATGGATAGAGCTTCATTTTGTGAGGTGTACCCATGAAAGCTGGTGATTAAAGAAAATAGATTTTCTGGTGGTGGCTATCAATTCTTGGCATTCTTTGGCCTGCAGCTATGTCACTCCAATCTCTGACTCTGTTATAACATGGCATTCTTCTCTTATAAGGACATAAGTCATATTGGGTTAGAGTCCATCCTAATGACCTCATCTTAATTTAATTACATCTGCAGAGACCCTATTTCCAAATAAGGTGACATTCACAGGTACCAGGGTTTAGGACTTCAACATATATTTTGGTGGAACCCAATTAAACCCATAAAAACATCAGTTACTGATGACTTTTTAAAAACACATGAACACTAAAATGAATGATTATATAGAAATTTCTACAAGTGTAAGGCATGTACCCAAGATTTTATAATTGAGGTGGGAGTTCTAATGCAGTGACTATCAATTTCACAGACAGCCAGGCTGGTTCCACAGAGAGCTGCTTAAGGCCTCAATCAGAACAGCAGATGCCATCATATAATCCACTGTGTAACTCAGTTTATTTTGTAAACTAAAATCTGCTGGACCTTGCTTTGTACATATGTGAAATAAGAGTATTGGGAGAAATATTAGTTTTCTACTAACTTTTAAAATTCTGTGCTTCATTGAGGTTTATATGTGGAATGGGGGGAAACTATGTAAAAAATATTTAATTAGGAATACATTTCATGCCATTTATCTAAAAATTAAAATGAGTAGTTATTGTGCATCTCCACTAAAGTTATTTGGCTACCTTTTAATTATTTCAGATAATACTTAGTGTTCTTTCACCAGTAGTTTCCTTAGGCAAAGAAGAAAAATTGCAATTCGGAGGTTACGTTGCACCATTCTAGAGTGGTCAGTGAGCAAACACAATTATTATTTTGCACAACATGCCCATTCTTAAACTGGGGATGCAGCTGGCAAACACCTGTGAAAATTATATTTAATTAGCTTTCTTTTTTAAGAGATACTTTCCATTTTATCTTTATATGTTCAGACCTACGTTCTTCCGAATTAAATTCCAAGTGTGAAACTTACACTAGAGTTTGCTTTATGTCAGCTAAACTAATTGACAAGTTAATCAAGTCACTGGATTATAAATCTTCTGTATAATCAAACCAGTATTAAAAATTCAGTCTTAAATGGAAAATCTATAATATTGTTCTTGTATGCAGCTTTTCACAGATAAGATTTCAAGATTGCCAGCTGCTAGATCTAAATGAGCCAGGAAAGTTTCAGAAAAGAGATTTCTTCTTTCAAAAAAATTAGGTATCCTTGGTCATAGAGTTTCAAAGCTATGAAAATGTCAGCATGCATATTGATATTTACTTGGGAGAGAGAGTACAGTGAACTTTCTTGATTTGCATTAGCAGTTAGAGATAAAGCAAGTATCATTATTTGCATTTGTTTTATTTAGTTCAATTTTCCATTTGTTGAGACTTATATTGTTGAAGAAGTGAAAGTTCATGCAAGGAATAATACCAGTGGATACAATCCAGAGGAGGTGGATGAACCTCCTAAAACTACTTCAGGATACAGCTGCCCTTGGAATGTAGATGGAGATTTAATGGAAGTTGCATCAGAGGTCCATGTTAGGTAAGTCACTATTTCACTACTTCATATGTCAACCAGTAGACACAAAACTAATAGTATAATAAAAACCCTCTTAACTATAAAAGCAGACAGTTCACTAATTAAAAGAAAAATAGAAAATCAGGGAAGCATAAAAAGATACATACATAACTTTCAATAAATTAACTTTACATTTATTCATTGTTATGTAGAGCCAAGGCATTTTTTTGGTTATGAGTCTCTACATTGTCATTTTAGTTATTGTTCTGTATATAGTGTACAGATAATGCATGTCTACAATTTCCATTTTGCATTTTTTTAAATGGATAAAGATTTTAAACCTTTGTGAAGCCATCATAGTAGTAGATTGCTACATTTTAATCCCCCAGTCTTTTAGTTTCCTCTCACCGTAGTTAATACTATAACACTTTGCGTTCAGCAGTTTGCTTTTACCAAGTCTCTACAAACTTACTTTACATAACAACAGTTTTACATATTATTTAGTTAAGAAAGAAGAGCAACTGGTATAAACACAGTTAGAAGATCCAAACTCATTTTTGGTAAGCATTATGACTCAACGGGTAGAAGTGTGTAGGGGTGCCGACTAGAGGGAGTGCTCCACAGGTACAGCTGACTGTTTTACAGAGGCAATGGAGGGCATTAGTCAGTCAACAAAGCCAGTTAAAAAGGGTTTAGAATAATTACTGGTGTTGGTTTATCAAACCCTCTTGGACTTCTAGATTGCAGAATGCCATGAGTGTATTTTTGTTGCTTATTGCTATGGATTGAATGTTGCCCCCAAACTCACTGAAGCTTGATCCCCACTGTAACAGTGTTAAGATGGCAGGAAATCAGACTATGGCAGTGGTGAAAGGTGGAGCCTTTAAAAGGTGATTGGATCATAAGGATTGTGCTCTTATGAGTGGATTAACCCATCCATGAAATAATGGGTTACCAGAGGTGTGGACTGGTGGCTTTATAAGGAAAGCACATAAGCGAGCTCTTGCTCATGCCATGCTCACCATGGGATACCCTGGTCACCATGGGACTCCCCACCAAGAAGACCCCCACCAGATGCACCCACTGGACTTCCCAGCCCCCCCAAACTGTAAGAAATAAACCTCCTTTCTTTGTACATTACCCAGTTCCAGGTATTCTGTTATTATAAGCAACAGAAAACTCATACAGTTATCAATTTCTATTTGGTATTATGTACCATCCTCGTTAGGTATATGTGTGAAAATAATAGAATGATAGGTTGATGAAATAAATATACACATTATTCTTTTCTTTACAGGTTGCATCCAAAACTTATCAGTCTTTATGGAGAAAGCATGGAAGAAATTAATGATTCCAAAGTAACATGTAATTGTTTGTAAAAGAAATATATAAATAAGAATTTTGATATGAAAGAATATGGTCATGCTTTAAACAGATATCCTAATAGAAATAATTCTCAACTTATTTTTTCTTTTTAAAATTAAAATTGCTATTTTTGATGTTACTAAAAATTAGCTTCTAGGGCTTTAAAAATCAAGATGAAAAATATGAAATATACCAAAAACAATTCAAATTCCAAAGGTATTTATTGGAAATGAAAATAATCATTTCATGTACTTAAAATTTATTTACCCGTCATCGTGATATATCAATATTTAATCTAGGTAATTCCAAAGTGAAATAATTTGGGCTCTCTCATTTTTCAGGATTTGAGTCCATGAATTCTGATGTTAAATTTCCTGCAGCTTGGCACAAACAGGTCACATTGATTTTACTAATGAGGTAACTAATCCAGAGAGGTTAAATTTTGAAATCAAATAGCAATCTAGTGATATAACCAGAAATACAACCACTTTTTCAAAATCTCTCCAGTACCTGTATAAACTTGCCGAAAAAGAATAACCCATCTTAAAAAGATTATGGTACTAATTTTGTAAAGTGGTGGAGTTTTAAAATTTATCATACAGGTAATGAAATTTATTTCAAACTATGCAAAATATCTTTCTAACTAGAGAAAAGTTAGCTGATTGGTAGCTGTGTTCCTCTTGTACCTGAGAGGCATGTGTTGGACAAACATAGCATTTTAATACCTGAAATATAGTCATTTCTGAATAGGAAAGAACCAAATTTAAATTTCCTCAGAGACCATCCTTGAGAAGGCAGTTCTAAATTGGAGCTTGATTTTTTTCATCAATGATCCTAGACATTCTCCTGAAGGAACTACTTGGTTTTTCTGAATGATAAAAGCTTAAAAATAAATTTATTACTATGGTACTCTGAATTCAGGAGGCTATGTGCTCGGGTTTCACTGCTGAAATGCCTTCCCAAATCTCCATACATTCCTCACTCTCCAGCCACCAATTGCAGACTGTGGGCTTGTGAATAGATAACCTTCACGAATCTGAGGAAGTGGATGGCAGGGACTTCACATAAAGAAATATTTTCAGTGACATTAAAGACTGCCCTCTAATTTTTCTATTTGATCACTTCCGATTACTTTGGCCCTTAGCTGTCTTACACGGATAAAGACTGATCTGGATGAAATTACATTCTATAGCTATCAGCATCTAGATCACATGCATGAAAATAAATATTACAAAAATGATTGTATTTGCAAATGAAAATGTATTTAAAGATAAATTATTTAAAACCTAGAAAGAAGCTATTTCATTTAAAAGTAGAACCTCATACAATATAAACAAACTTCAAAAAATATTTTAGCCATCATAAACATTTCATGGAAATTCTGATGTCTCATTTATATTCATTTTCAGTTGTTTATGAATTGTTTCTTCATTACCATGCAGAAGAGAATGCTTTTACAGACCTGATTAAAACATGGTTAATACTTATATTTGAAAAAGAGTAACAAAAAGAGTAATACTTGTGTATTTGCTTAATCTTGGAGAGTCAGTATTTTATACAGTACCCAATATACATGAAACATTGGCCCCCTAATCATTCTTTGCATAGCTTTGATTTTTTAAAATCATTTTGAGGTAAAGTTTTTGTTTCTTACATACATCAGTGTGTATCAGATAAAGTGCAACATTCACAATCTGTTGTTTCAGAATATAAATTAGAATACTTAAGTACTGGTTTTTATAAACAAAAAATTTGATGGAAGATAGTTTTTTAAATTTACCCCTGGGTACTCTTGATAAAGTTGTGTTATAGGAGGACTAATGGGTTTATACCTATGTAAACGCATATATTCTTTTAAAGTTTTATGTATATATACAGAAAGAGGAAAAAAATCCATAACTGTATAAACAATTATCCAGAAGTCATTCCATAAAGCTCAAACCAGTGTATAAGTTCAGTCCCAAGCTTGCTCATCAGGCCTACAGTATTCATAGCCTGCTGAATCAAAGGGTTGTTGTAGCAAAGCCAATTGGAAATATGTTAAGAATCAAGGTCTTTAAAGATAAAACGATAGTGGTCCTCTTTCATTCATTAGAAAATTTACAACAGTCGTTTGAAAAATTCCACTAAATATTTTTAAAGAGGATATTTCAAACATGTCTCAAAGTTGTACTTGAAATGAAACACTGCATTCACTGGGATTTTACCAAGGTGAGCACACATAGTAAATAATATTTCTTTGAAAGCAAAGATATTTCAAGTCTAAGACTTCTCCAATCAAGTTGTTTACTTCCTCAATATGATTTAATTCAGTTATACTTTCACTTCAAGATATCTTCAAAGGTTTACAATTGAATGCTTTAGTGTTTTTTTTTGTTTGTTTTTGTTTTTGTTTTTTACCCATTTAAGAGTTGGAAGATTATCTTTGAATATACTGAGTATTACCTCTGCAGTTGTTTTCTTTCAGTGTAATCATTACTTGGATTTTTCCCTTGCATAAATACATAGTATGTCAAAAGATCATGAGTAAAGTTAGTACATGGAAGAAATCTGAACAAAATTCATGTTTTCTTGTAAACAGTGTCTTAAATTGTTTTTGATATAACCTGAGTCTGTTTTCTCAATTTGAAAGAAGTCTTTAATCATCATTGTTGCTTTTACTGTTGATGTAACTCCAACTGTCTCTTCTGTTTTCCTCTTGTAGGACAGATTTATATTGTCTTTTAAAGAAGCCAGCCTAAAAATAGTATAACATAATCACTAGTGTATAGTTATGAACATACTATTCTCAAATCTAAACAGTCACACCACTCTTGTAGGACAGATTTATATTGTCTTTTAAAGAAGCCAGCCTAAAAATAGCATAACATAATCACTAGTGTATAGTTATGAACATACTATTCTCAAATCTAAACAGTCACACCAATAGTTCTTCAACTTTGTCCCATGTAACACTAATCATGAAGGCTTTCAACAGATTTAGTGAGTAAAAATTAGTTTGGGATGTTACGTTAAAGAAGCATTTGTTGTTGTTAATGCAGGACTTCTCAGTGACACACACACACTCCAAAATTGACCTTCAATATAATTTGCAGTGTTTTCCAAGGCTTTTTTTTAAAAAGAACATCTTTCAAAACAAGTTATCTTTTAGAAGGCATATAGATATGAGATCAGTACTATATATTTGCTTAGAAATTTTTTAAGTTAACATTAAAATACTCAAATATTTAAATCTAATAGTTTGGGAGCCACACATTGGCTTTGAGGAAATGAAGGATGGCATTTTGAGTGGTTTACTGTTGATAAATATTAAAGGCTTACCTTCCACATAACATAAGAAATCAATAAAAGCACAATAAGTCCAAGTAGCAAGCTACTTGACATGATCACTATAGTGAAATGACGTCTGGGTCTTTGATGATGTATTCCTTCCACTATTTCATTTAAAAGTAGAACCTCATACAATATAAACAAACTTCAAAAAATATTTTAGCCATCATAAACATTTCATGGAAATTCTGATGTCTCATTTATATTCATTTTCAGTTGTTTATGAATTGTTTCTTCATTACCATGCAGAAGAGAATGCTTTTACAGACCTGATTAAAACATGGTTAATACTTATATTTGAAAAAGAGTAACAAAAAGAGTAATACTTGTGTATTTGCTTAATCTTGGAGAGTCAGTATTTTATACAGTACCCAATATACATGAAACATTGGCCCCCTAATCATTCTTTGCATAGCTTTGATTTTTTAAAATCATTTTGAGGTAAAGTTTTTGTTTCTTACATACATCAGTGTGTATCAGATAAAGTGCAACATTCACAATCTGTTGTTTCAGAATATAAATTAGAATACTTAAGTACTGGTTTTTATAAACAAAAAATTTGATGGAAGATAGTTTTTTAAATTTACCCCTGGGTACTCTTGATAAAGTTGTGTTATAGGAGGACTAATGGGTTTATACCTATGTAAACGCATATATTCTTTTAAAGTTTTATGTATATATACAGAAAGAGGAAAAAAATCCATAACTGTATAAACAATTATCCAGAAGTCATTCCATAAAGCTCAAACCAGTGTATAAGCTCAGTCCCAAGCTTGCTCATCAGGCCTACAGTATTCATAGCCTGCTGAATCAAAGGGTTGTTGTAGCAAAGCCAATTGGAAATATGTTAAGAATCAAGGTCTTTAAAGATAAAACGATAGTGGTCCTCTTTCATTCATTAGAAAATTTACAACAGTCGTTTGAAAAATTCCACTAAATATTTTTAAAGAGGATATTTCAAACATGTCTCAAAGTTGTACTTGAAATGAAACACTGCATTCACTGGGATTTTACCAAGGTGAGCACACATAGTAAATAATATTTCTTTGAAAGCAAAGATATTTCAAGTCTAAGACTTCTCCAATCAAGTTGTTTACTTCCTCAAAATGATTACTGCGTGGTCATTTCAAAACATTCCATTTAAAACATACCATCTGCCATTTCTTTGGGCTCAATATGTGCCATGCATTATTACTAAGAGCTCATAAAAATCATCTCATTTAAACTACAACACCCCTGAGATAGAGAAATTATCCATTCTGAACAGATGAGGAAACCAAAAAACAACTCCCAATAAAACTAGTTTTATTCAAAATAATCTTCATAAATATACACTCTTCTTTCTACAAAGTTAAAGACATGTTTGATTTTATACAGCCTTAATTTATTTGCCTTATTTTTAAAATGTTAGATTGTAAATAATTTTTAAGGTTATACAAAATGTTAAGGTAGTCAATTTATTTGATTTCATCAAGGCTTTTAGGCAGTTAGACATGCTTTCTAAAATAAACCTCTTAATTACTTCATAGTTTAGTCTTAATTATCTGCTTAATTACTAAAGCCATCTCAATGTAGATAGCTGAAGTGATAAAAAGAAAGAGTTTTACTCCAAAATTTTATTTATTCCTTCTTAATTTGTTGATACCTCCATACCATCCTGACTGAATTTACAGATTAAACACAAAGCTGTCAGTATGTTTTAAACTTACCATTTCTAAGATAGATGGTCGGCCTTCCAACTGAATGTGAACACTGGCTTCTTTTCCACTTTCCATTTTCCCAAAATTGCATAAGAAACTTAAACAATGTGGATCAGCTTTTATGCAGTACTTGAAAAGAATATAAAAGTACTACATTAAAATGTTCAACATTAAAAAAAATTATTCAAAAATATTTTATACATAATTAAAATCTCCTTAGTGGCATTTAGAAAATTATCTTTCTATAAAAATGGAATTAAACATCTGATTTCTTTAGCGGAATTTTAAAAATTATCTTACTTTAAACAAAACGCAAATGCTCGTTTTGTAAATTATAACAAAACCAAAGTATTCAAACTGGAGCATGTGCTCTACATTAAATTAGATTAAACATCTGATTTCTTTAGCGGAATTTTAAAAATTATCTTACTTTAAACAAAACGCAAATGCTTGTTTTGTAAATTATAACAAAACCAAAGTATTCAAACTGGAGCATGTGCTCTACATTAAATTACTAATCAGAATCTTGCTAAGTGACATGTTCTATGTTTGCTGTAAAACTTGGGTCATTTGAAGGGAATGACTGCTTCTCCAGTTTCTTTTCATAAATTCACTAATATGAAAAGAATGCAAATTAATCTCATGCAACAAAGGTTGCTCAGGTAAAGATAGCATCTTAGTGTTCTGCAGGGTCTGAAACAATATCTGTCTGGCAAATAATGGGTACTTGTTAGATAAATAATGAAATCCTATTATATTTAACCCTGCATCTATCTCAACCTGCCAAACATGCTTGTTCCTTATGTTCAAGAATACTGCCTAAATGTGTGTTCTCTCCTGCCACTCAGCTGACAGCTCAAACCTGTTGACTTTAGGTTTTAAGTGTTCCCCTTCTCTGTTGGAAAGCAACAACCACAACCTGAAAAATTGAGACTTACCAATAGCCTCTTATCAGTCTTTGATAAAAATGTGAAGATGCCTTTCAAGGTTTCCATTGCACCCTTCGGCCGTTCTAATGCACACTCTCTTTGGTAAGTTTTAAAATGGCATTCTCCAGTCGTAGGCTATAATGATAGAAAGCAAGAAAAACCCTTCAACACTGGAAAGAACAAATACCATGTGAGTTTTAAAGTTCCAATTGCTTATCTTTTCTAAATATATCAGGTACCTCTGAAATTGTGGAAATATTTTTTGACAGATAATACTTATTTCTTAAGTAGTGATTTGAATATTGCCTCCTTAAAGTCTAGAATCCTAATCTTTCAACAGTGGCTTCAAGCTTTATGGCAATTTATACCAACTAAATTACTTCTACAGGTCCATATCACAAAGAAAATGTATCCTAAAATACTTATTCAATGAAGATGGTAAAGCACAATTCTGTTATTGTATAAATCAAATGTAGAGGTTCCGCTGTAATTCTACAGTTCTAATGCAATGTATAATATTCAAAGTATACTCAATAAATGCATGGTAAATTCATAATTTTGAGTGTGACTGAAATAAGTAAAGAGACATGTCCATTGTAGCACTATTACTTAAAACAAGAGATTTGTTTACATTTATTATATTTAAGACACACCTAATAAAGGTCAGGTGGAAGGAACACATTTTTACCTGGACATCCAAAATGTTGAACAGCTTATCAGTTTGGGGAATAAAAGAATTGGGTACCATTATTTCCACACTAACATTTGGAGCCATGCTATTGCCAGTGTTGATAACCTGGTGAGGAAAAAATTTAATAGTTTTTAAATGTTTTTCATAAATGTTAGTAAGTACAGAAATCAAAAAGCTTTTAGATGACCCCATATACCCCATTTATAGTGGTAGAGGTTTGTAATTGGCAGCTATAAAGGTGGACAGGATATCCATAGTCAGAATTTTAAAAGTTTGCTAATAATTTAAAACTCTAGTCATTTTATTCCTAGCCTTCTCTTTTTGGTATTTTTCAGGCCAAAAAGTCTAGACTGATGGTTTATGGCAGAAATGGTCTTAAGAAAGAGACATCAATAACATTTGCTTTTTTGTTTACAACATTAGATATTTGAAAAACATGACCAATTGGTCCTCATGAGCATCCTGTGAGGTGAGTCGTTTCACTATTCACCAGCCAAGGAAGATGCTAACAGGTGTTAATGATGCTCCTAAGATGAAAGTGAAAAGGGGACAAGAGGGCTGGCTGGTCACCAGCTCACTTGAGAGAGCGTGATGCTGATAACACTAAGGGCTCAGATCCCCTTGCCTGCCAGCTACACCCCTCCCCCACCACACCCCCCAGGGGGAAAAAGTGTGACAGGAGTTAGGACAAAAAGCCAGGTATTCTAATTTTAAATCCTGTGTTTTCACAAAATCACTCCTTGCTGAGAGGATAATCATCAGTGGTAAGTGAATAAAAATATTTTTTATTCAGTTAAATTATAATGCTGATGCACTCAGAAAAATTAGAAAAGGTGACGTTATTGGGTTTTAGAGAAAATACAACAGATTTTAAAAATGCTTTTCAAAAAATGCATAAGGAGATGATATTTCATTATTATTAATAAATCTGAGGATCACAGATCCCTGAAAAAAGAGATCAGGCCAAAATATTGCCTCCTGAAAGCACAACTATAAGAAGTCAGAAGAAAAGATGTGCCACAATACCAGAGTGAAAAAGGATGGCTCGCAATAACCTTTTGAATGAGTGTTCCTGGATTTGGGACAGGTGGCAATTGCCAGGCCGTGAAAACACAGGGCAGTTGCAAGAGGAAATGTCAGCAGTGTGTACTCAGCAGTGCTCAATACTGTAGACAAGGTCTCCTTGAGGCCAGTAAATCAATCTAAATTACAATTATGCTTCATACCTATTCACCCAGTAACACTTAGACCTCCAAGAACATCTACATACTCAGACTTGCCAAGCCTACTTACTGCATGGATCCCTAGTCCCAGTCATTCCACTATAAATTAATTAAAATATAGTTAACTATTAATTATAAATTAATAAATAGGCCTTTTAGAGTCCAGCTCAATTTCTGTTTTAGTTTATCAAAGCACAATCCTCCATAGAGTTCTAACAAGAGCATTTGATGGGACTTCAAAGTGGAGGGCCTAACTTTTTCAACACTAGTGTGTACTAGTGTAACAAAAACTTGAGAATACAAAGAATTGATAGGATTTCAGGGGTATTCTTCTTCCACAGATCTGCAGCAGGGCCCAGAAAATAAGCACCCCATGATTATGATAAATATTTTGAAAAGCATTGCCTTACAAAATACACCTAATCCAAGACTGACTCACTCACTCCCATTCTGTAGATTGCTATATAACTCCGAGAATATTTGGATAGTACTTTTGGTTCAAGAAATATTTTTGTGGAAATTTACTCTTCATCAGCATCTGTGGAAATATCATCTCCTTATGCATTTTTTGAAAAGTATTTAAAAACCTGTTGTATTTTCTCCAAAACCCAATAAAAATCTCAGTTTGACAGTAAAAATTTTTAAATTTAGCTTTATGTCAGTCTACTAATACTTCTGGATAATGACAGTACTCTTTACTTTTTTAAGAGGTTATTTAATAGTTGAGAAAGCACTTGTCACAGTTCATGAATCTATGGCTTGAAAGGCTGAGCAAATCAACTTTAAATGGAAACAGGGAGCTAAGTACTTCCTTTACTTGGTTATGTTAGGGCTTTCATAAAGTTTGAACCAAAAAGAGATTTCACCGATTTTCACCCAAAGGTGCCTTCCCTTGGCCTATCCTATTTTCTGTGTGCATCTCTAGGGAATTCAGCTCATGCTACAACTTTGCCTGTTTCAGGCATTACCTCTGTTCCTGCATGCTCTTTCCCACCTGTCCTGTAGGGAGAAATGGGCTTAAATACCAGAGACAAGAGAGATAGTAGAAAGGCAGCAGGAGCCCGAGAGGCGGCACAAAGACCCAGTGCCACAGCCCTCTTCCAGCCATCCCTGGCCAGCCAGGGCTGAGGGACATCATAGGTACATGATATCCGCTGGAACAATGCATCCATAATATCCTTTGAGGTTGTTACAAATATCAACACAATTCACTTTTCTTACATGGAAAGTGAAGTTCATTTTCTCTGCCATGCAGTTCTCAGGCTCATTTTCATCAGTCGGTCCATACACAAATGAAGTTGGGTTTACAAACCTGATAGAAAAAAATTCAAATTTAGTTAATCATCTTCTTCGATGATGTGTTATAAACAGTTATTTCTCTACAGACTGGGTTATAGCATATTTAAGAGGCACCATGGAATACTTTGTTTCATGATAAGAATTTTATTGAAAAAAATAATAGAAGGTTGTGTACTCTGATCTGTGTGACAGTATCTGTTCTCACCAATATCCTTTTCTTGCCTTTGCCAACACTGTGCCTGGTTCATTTTGCTCAACATTTCTTCTCTTTCAGTTCTTAAATGATTCATGTAAGTTTGACAAATATAGGATACATCTTTAGCTTGTCTCTTATGCCTCAATCTAACCTATTTTTGAGTTGTTTCTTTCCATTTCCCAATTCCTGCTGGCTATTTGTAATGAAACTCAAGTCTAGGGAACAATTCAAACACTGAGAAGTATGGCAAAATTTTTGTTAGAATACAAGGTTGACACTTTTTTTTTTTAACCTGTGATTAGAGATATGTATAGTCAGCAATGAACTCTAAGAAATGTTTTTCTAGGGAAGTCTACTCAAAATGCTTATATTTGGCAGCTAATATTAGGTAATACCAAATTAGGGACCCATTAAACAGGAAAGAAACTAGAGATATTCAAATGGTGTAGATTTAGGCAGTTTAATAGTTGTAGACCATTCCTTGCCCAAAACAATGAGACATGAATGATGAAAAAACAGGAGGGCACTCATCATAAGAAAATCAAGGAAGGATGATGAGACAGACATTCAACACCAGGAACCTTGCAATCAACTTTTACCCAATGACTTTTTATGTCTACTCTCCTGTGAATGGCCTCCTTTTTTCCATTTGTTTTATCTAACAAACTTGGTACTCAATTCCGTCAGTTTCAGATGCTGTCATTTTATGTGTATATAACAGTATGTCCATCTTTATAGGTGGTTAAAACAATTGGGGGATGGTTTATATTTGGAGCAACAAGAAAGCTCATCTGTCTATTTCGTTTTATATCTCATATCTTCTAGATATCTCATATCTTCTAGCTTTAAAAATGTAGCCTGCTTAATTTCCAGTAAAGTCATTAAAGGTTTTCTTAATCCTCCCTTTTATTCTTTCTCTACACATCTCTCTCTTGAATCAGAGGAGAATTGACTCAAACAATTACTAAAATCGTGAGAAAGCAAGGAATGCTGGGACCAGGGCTGTGGTTGGGGAACTCGGAAAGCTCAGAGGTATATATCAATCTCATAGCTTTATAGTGCACAAGGGACACCTTGTGGCCAGCTCTCTCAGGTCGCAATCCATTTGCCACATAAGTAGATGCGTGTTCTGGAGAGTGGCGATTTGGCCGAGCTCACACTTCTCTGAACTTCACACATGCCATGACCACCAGGTATGATTATGCAAACTGCACACTGGCCGACTCCAGGTGCCCCTGGATTGCACAGTGTACAATTGAAAGGCTGAGTGTGGCCTGCTAGATTCTTACTGGGGCTCTTCCACTAAAATATCCTCCTGCTGGCCACTAGTTGTATGTAATATCGATGATGATTACAGAGTGTATTAAAATAATGAACAGCCAAGCAAGGGACAGCACACTGAGGTAATTGTTAAGAGACAGAAACAGTATAGTATCCCTTTTATTTATTTTTTTAAGTTTTTAAATATGTAAGAAGCAATGGAACTGAAACTTCACAGGAGCCTCTATATCTACTTACCCATGAACAGTGAGCATAACCTCATACTTGAGAGGAATCGCTAAAGTCACTTTGTTATGCTTTAAAGCATCCATTTCCCCTTCATTTTCACTACAGAAATGAATAGAAAACACCCCATTAGAGTCCATCAAGCACAAAAATAATCTTCAGAGAACTAATTACATACCATGTATATCTATCATACTTAGAGGTTTGTTTAATGCTTTTTGGAAAGTAGGGATAAAAGCAGATGTGGTGGTAAGAAATTTTTAGGACAGGGTTGGTAGAAATGCGCTTTCCTCATTTTAAGCTGTTGCTTCTAAAGCTAGACAGGTTTTTTTTTGGTTATGGTTTTCTTGTTTTTTGGTGTTTTTTTCTAAAAAAAAAAACCAATAAATTATGTAGGAGAAGTTTTCTCCACAGACAGTTAATGGATCACTGCTTCATGGTTTTTCCTAAAGTCCCCCCTCAAAATACAGCAGTATAATTCCTCTAGTATTTTTTAAAAAAAAAAAACAATAAATTATGTAGGAGAAGTTTTCTCCACAGACAGTTAATGGACCACTGCTTCATGGTTTTTCCTAAAGTCCCCCCTCAAAATACAGCAGTATAATTCCTCTAGTACAACTATTTTTTTTTCACAATGGAATATACCAGGTGGCATGCACTGTGATGTTGAGGTCTTCTTCTGCTCTGCTGAGTGAACTCACATCCAGGAGAAAGCTAATATCTATCTGTAAAACACAGAAGGGAAGCCTTTTTATATAATCTAAAATACATATTTTTCCTAATCTGAACTTTAATTTCTCTTAATAGTTTATGTTCTATGGAATGTAGAATTGAAACGATTCTAGAGGCATAGGCTGCTTCTCACCAGGCAGTAAGATACAGGTGAGCTGTTGAGATTGTGGCAATTTTATTCATTTTTAAAATTTATATTTTTTAATTGAAACATTGATTATAAATATCCGTGGGGTACAGAGTTATATTTCAATACATGTACACAATGTGTGATGATCAAATCAGAGTATTTAGCATACTCATCATTGAAAAACTTAATCATCTCTTTGTGATGAGGTCATTTGATTGCCTTTCTTCTAATCATTTGATAACAAGCAATAAGTTATTGTTAATTATAGATGCATAGCTCGACTGTACACCAATAGCATTTCCACAAGTAACATTCAGAGACAAAGCCTACTCTGAATATGAAGACAGACAGGTCCAGACTGACAAGATTAGAAACGCTTTCACAACTTGAGGACTCTTGCCAAAAACACCTTTTTGTACAGCAGAAGTAACATGCCTGGCAGACAGGACCACCTGGGGAGGGGTGGGGGAAGTGTTGGGGAAGGGTGAGTAGGGGGAGAGGAATTCTGATTGACACTTTCACATGCCCATCTTGACATAAACATGTCCCCCCCTTCTTTAAAACAGTGAACATTGCCAAGAATACAAACACAAAGCTCAAAGATTTCAAGCCCAGTTGGTTTGGGTTTTATTTCATCACTTAGCTACCTACACTAAGTAAAAAAGAAAAAGATAAATGTTACATATTTGTATGCAGCATAAAGACAAGGGAAAATAGAAAAAATTAATGTTAATAAACAAAAACAATAAATGCTAAATGCTTACCCTTGACAGATGATCTACATATATATAACCAACATTGCAGTCAAGCTTTACTACACCAGAGTTGTCTGTTACTTCACAGTTTATTTGTTTCTCTTCCTAAAAGGAAAAAAATGAAACAACTGGTTTGGGTAGGAAAGGAATAAGAAGTTCGTAACATATGTCTAAAGGCGGTTTTTGAAAAGAATATCATCCCATAAGTATTTACTTTCTGGAAAACTGTTTTCTCTTTACTTTTGGAATAAATAGAAATATAAACAAATGATATAAATATGTGTGTGTATATACATCCTAATATTCACATAAACTCTTCACAGAAAAATTCCTGGATTTGTAACTTTCATTCATCTTGGTATATTCCCTATTTGATTCAAGGCCTAAATCCTTGAAAAATCATGGGACAGAATCTATAAGGTCCATATTTCATAGGCCTTCTCCTGTCTGGTATGTAAGAATGTATTTAGGGTATTTAATCACAATGATTGTAATCACAATAGGTATAATATATTTTAAAAACATATTCCATGCCTATCTGAGTTTCCCCTCTTACTTTTGCAAATAGGCTCCCAATATTCTAGAGAAAGGGAGTAACAGATATTTGTGAGAGGTCAAAATCCTCTCTCCAATGCCCCTGGTGTGAAGAGGTAGTCCCTGGATAAGAGATGGGTAAATATGGTAAGGTATAGAGAAATATCAGAGGATAAAGTGAAACTCAGCCTTATTAATATCTCACAGATGGATTTAAGTGCTCATGACTGAGGCACAGTGGTAAGTAAAGGTTTCCGAGTACTCCCAATTCTTGTGGGAAAAGAGAAACTTGTCTAAGAACTGGCTTGACACTAGGATTTTGGAATTTGTGGAGAATTGCTGACTCTGACATGTTGGAGGTCCTTTGGGAAGTAGGCTGAGAATGTGCACTTAAAATGAAGAGCAGTAACTCTGGGAGCCCAGCATGGAGGACCAATGTTCCTTGTGCAAAGACCCCAGCCAAGAGGAGCATGCACCTTGTCACTGTACCAGACAAGGATGCGGCAGTGAGAGAGTGTGAAACCAGGCAGCTCGCTCTCCTAGCACTGGGAAGCAGGGAGCTGGTGCCTTTCAACTTAGCTCCCAAGGAATTTGCCATCCTGAGCAGAGGCATGGAGAACGTCTTGAAATAACCAGAAACCTGCATGATAAATATTAAAACTTGTACCCCAATTATTTATACCCTACATCAATGAAGTAAATTATACCATTTCCGTTTTTTAAAAGAATTAAGTAAATTACTAAGTAGCATCATGCTATTTTAGCTTTCAGTACTTACTAGGTCTAAAATCTTAACGAAGTAAAGACCTGTGGGTAGCATGACATGCAGAGCTGTTTCGAACGCGTCATCTCCAGCATTAAACAGGGACACATTCAACATTAACGTCTTCATACTCCCAACAGCAAGATAGGTTTTATTTTCATGTGGCCTGAAAAATTATGCAATGTTATTTAGTTCTTGTTTAGGAAATAAAGATCTCATCTTCTTATATATGAAATTTATGCTGAACATAAAATATTAATTTAGAAATACTACCACAATGGGAATGACCCCATGCAAGCAGATATAAACCCCTATATAAAAAGAACTCTCCATTTCTCATGTTTCAGATAAATTCAGTCAGCTATTACCCAGCAAAAGTTTATTTTTTAATTAGTGATAATTAAACTTGTCTTTCTGTTTTACTTTTCTGCTTAACCTTATTTCTGTAATTTTAACATTTTCCTCATTACTTCGCAATGTTTTCTAAAGGCAAAGCAGTTTTCTTCCTTCAGTCATTGAATAGACGTTGAACCAACTGCTGCCCAAAGCAAAGGGTAAAAATGGGGGGAACTGGGAGAAGAAGAGAATAGAGGGAGTGTTTGACAGAAGTGAGGAAGGCTTAGGGAAGAAATCCTATGCCCAGCAAGTGGTGGGTACTAAAATCTGTTGGACTACAGTTAATTTCTGAAGCAGGCCAGTTGGTCACCTCTGCCAATAACTAGGTCAAATTAAAGACATAACTGCAGGAATGCTTACCATCCTGTGAATTATAAAGAAAAGACAGCTGCAAATCCAAACATATAAGTGGGTTCAGATCCTGGCACTGCCCCACTTCTTTGAGGTGGGGATGTCATTTAGCATTTCTAAGCTTGGGCCTCCCCATCTGTAATAACAATAACTACTTTTCAGTGATGATTTGGGTCACACACACTTCATGAAATCCGCAGAATGTTTTAAATATAAAGAACTTGAGGCTTAAGGCACTTACGGGTGGGGATGTCATTTAGCATTTCTAAGCTTGGGCCTCCCCATCTGTAATAACAATAACTACTTTTCAGTGATGATTTGGGTCACGCACACTTCATGAAATCCGCAGAATGTTTTAAATATAAAGAACTTGAGGCTTAAGGCACTTACTTAAAATAAAAGCTGAAAGCAATTGCAAATTTCTGCACAGCCCATTCTCTTTCTCAGTGAGGTTAGAATAGCTGAATGCTAAAGAAAACTTTCAGTTATAGCATGTTATGATTTTATAAAGCATTCTCTTTCCCAGTGAGGAGGTTAGAATAGCTGAATGCTAAAGAAAACTTTCAGTTATAGCATGTTATGATTTTATAAACTTTCCCCAAAGGCAGCAAGTTCTTAAATATCTAGTAATTTAAAATTTAGAAAAATTAGGGCCAGCCCAGTGGCGCACTGCTACAGTGCGCCGCTTGGGAGTGCGGCGGCGCTCCCGCCGAGGGTTCGGATCCCACATACAGACAGACCGGTTCCCGCTCACTGGTTGAGCGAGGTGCGGGCGCAACACCGAGGGTTGTGATCCATTGCCGGACACGAAAAAAGACAAAAAGGGAAAAAAAAAAAAATTTAGAAAAATTAGTTCAAACTAGAGAAAGATGTGACCCAAAGCAAAATATCAGGTGAGGATAGTCATAACCACAGGAAAGGTAAATATTCACCTAGCACTTTAGAATTTAGAAAGTTTCTTCAATAATGTTTAAATTTTGCCATTCTGGTCAACATTTGTATAGAAGATTATTGTTTGAATAAACTACTTATAAAAATATTAAACAAAGAGTAGGCTTTTATTTCATAGTTATTTGTACACTGATTAAAGACAAAGGGTATGTAAGGGCAGAGTTTAAGAACACATTCTGAAACTTCTGTTTTTAAACATTTCTTGAAGATGTGCAAATGACTGACTATAACTGGAAGTTCCTGTACAATGTCAGGCACTGTGCTCACTGCTCCCCAATAGCAAAACAGTTAAAACACACCTCACTCCCTCCTGACACTGATACAGTGAAGGACAGATTATAAATAAATATAAGCAAATACTATAAATGCATGGAAACAGTTATGAGCAAAGGGCTCTGAGAGTCCAGGGAAGGGGACAACTTTTGCTGGGGGGGAGTAAAGGCATGTTGCTTTTTGCTTTTCTACTATTCTGATTATTTAGGTTGCTCCAAGGAAGGTTTTTTGTTTTTGTTTTTAAAGATGACTGGAAGATAACTGGTAAGGGGATCTTAACCCTTGACTTGGTGTTGTCAGCACCATGCTCTCCCAAGTGAGCTAACCGGCCATCCCTATATAGGGATCCAAACCCAGGTCCTTGGTGTTATCAGCACTGCACTCTCCTGAGTGAGCCACAGGCCGGCCCTAAGGTTTTTTACTTTTTAAATAAAATCAGTCTGAAAATATCATGACTGAACCTGAGCTAACTTGGATTATACCCATAATTGATTTCTGTCTCCATTCCTTCCCGTCTTCTTCAATCTTCACACTGCCAGAGGGTCACTTTCAAGAAAGCAGACTAGATAATGTCACATGCCTGTTCAGTTTCTTCTAGTGCTTCAAGAGTCTCAACTCCTTAGCATGACATCTAGGCCTTCAAAAGCTGGCTCCTGCCTCCTGTACACTACACAGTTCTTTCTCTTGCTTCAGCCTTATTTATCTACAAACACATGTCCAAACACACCTAGATGTTCTGTATCTTACCTCAAGCTATCCTTCAGCCATTAACATTTTCTCCTCTTTATACATCTGGCCAATGTACACTTGTTTTTCGAGATCCAGCTTAAACATCAATAATTCTTAGAAGTTCTTGCTACTCACTGCAAAAAACCTTCACCCTGCACTGCTTGTGATGGCTTCTCCCTCTCCCAAAGCACACTGGGCATTTCTATGATAAAATCTTTTCACGATGTCAAATCACTGTTTCTCTTGCCACTAGACTAAGTTCTCTCAAAGGGAAATGCTGAATCATGATTATCACTGTTTTCTCAGAGCTGAGCAACACAGTTACTATTCAAAAATGTGTGTATAAAGAAGTGTTGGGTTATACCCAAGGAACATGTCAAAAAACGGGAAATTACTGGATAAGTTATTGACTGTTAAAGTTCATAAAATCATCAATATAAGTTCTGTCAAATTATACAGCCTCATAGCCATGTTTATTTGTTCTGTGATGGTATACAAATTCCTAATGTTTCATTAAGATGAAGTCACTATCTAACATTACCACATTCATGCAATCTGTGCCCCACTCATACAACCTAACATTTTAGTGGTAATACACCTATTGAAATGACCTAAAAGTTAATGGCATCATCATATGACCATGGCAAAATAAATACTGGAAAGGGAGTGTGGCTTTTGAGAAGTAAATTATTAATTCTTAAGTATGAATGTACAAATAAAATCATAATTTTGGACACTTTACTTTTATAACTCTAAGAAACTGGACAGTTCACTTAATACTTAAAAGTTCTTCCCCTCTTATTTTGATTTTTATCCACTTGAACCTTATTTATCAAAGTATAACATATGTACAGATACATGCACATATTCTAAGCATATAGCTCAATAATTTTTACAAATTGAATTCATGCATAAAACTAGCACCCAGATGAAGAAAACAAATATTACTAGAGCCATAGAAAAACTCTTTAGGCCCTCTTCCTTCCAGTTATTGCCCCAGTTCACTACCTTGATTTTTAATAGTATAAACTGGTTTTGCCTAGTTTTGTATTTCATATAAATGGGATCACAGAGCATATAATCCTTGAGTATCTGATTCTTTTGTGTATGGCTTCTCTTACTCAAAATTTTGTTTGTGGGATTAACCTATTTTGGTACATGTAGTTGAAAATTATTTATTCTCATTGGTGTATATATTCCATTTCATGAGTATGCCACATTTTATTTATCATTCAACTATCAATGGTAATTTTGGCAATTTCCAATTTGGAAACATTATTGTCTTTTGGTGAACATATATACGTAGTTCTGTTGGATGTGTGTATATATATCTTTATGTATATCTTTTTATCTGTGAGCAGATTCTTATTTTTTTTTTTTCAGTCCAGGATTAATTCCTTAAAATCTCAATGTTGGATTATTTTGGCAATCAGCTGAAGTTATACTAATGAACTATATTTACATAACAAAATACACTTATAAGAAAATATTTTTAAATAACATAAAATATATTGCAGAGTTGCAATATAAAAAGCAAGTATATAAGAGAGCAGAGGTTATAAACTATTGCCTAATGGCCAGATATTCATGTTTGCATGTTTTTGTAAATAAAGTTTTATTGGAACACAGTCATGCTCCGCTTTTGTACTACAATGGCAGAGTTGAGTATTTGAGACAGATATCTCTGTCCCACAAAGGCCATAATATTTACTATCTATTCCCTCACAGAAAGTGTGCTGGCTCCTATATAGCGCAATCGGACTGATGAGCATAATTAATTTCAAAATGAACATACAACAAAATATTACTATATTTAATTAAAACCTATTCATATTATTCGTACTATAATGGAGGCTTCATTATTTCAGATGGCATAGGATACAGTTATTCACCCTCAGAAGCCACACAGCATTAGAGAAAATGATCCTGCAGTCCTCATAATTCCTCGATTGTATTCCAGACATGGAGGAGAAAGGACTGAAGAACACTTCTGTATGCACCATCTCTAGCTTCTGATCCTTAGGTTTCAGAAGCTGGATATTGCTGGAAGAATGTGCAATAACTAACAAAGCAGTAATTCTAAACCATGGCTTTCATCTCAGAGTGGAGGAATTTAACTGAGTGATAGTGTGCCATCCCAACATTTTAGGGGATGGCTGTGATTCGCCCATCCCTGTGCTGTAAACCTTTGAGTTAGTTGAATATGCATCTCCTTGGTGGCACTGTGTTAAATGGGACAGAGGAAATGTGTGGGAACATGACTGTCCTACATTCCCTCTACTGCTCTGTAATCATGTTACAACTAAAAGAACCTAAGCAGCTCTAAAAGTAAACTTCAGCTTGACATTAAAGTTTAATTAAGACTTGTAGAAGAGCTGCCTAGAAATAGACGTTTATAAAATATTCTGGCTTGTAACCAAAGCATTAGTCACTGAACACCTTTGGGAAAGAAGTTGGCACTTAGAC